TATACAAAATTTATCTAAACAAGGCATACTGATAAGGAGAGAAAAATTCTCGCACCTCGGACAGTTTTGGATTCATTTATCATTTTGGAACCAACAATGTATCTAGATATTGTTATAGTCCCTGATGTCACTGCAAAAAGTAGCACTTTGTGTTTTTTTCACTCTTTATAGCTGGATGCAGGGGAGGGGGGTTAATAAGTTGTACTATGTCCAAGCGATGGGAACGGTCATGTGACCTGTTATATTCCAAGGAAAATTTTGCATCGATTGATTTTGCGTATTTTGTCCGCAATGAAATGCTTCCAGACGTTGAGAACAATAAAAAAATGCATTTGCCTTGAAATAGGTGTAAAATCGGAACCAAAAGTCAAAACGTGATTTAATAACACTCAAAATGGTTGTATGGCTCTTATCTAAGAGTATTGTACTTTCGGGCATTTTTTATTCAGTAATTTTATCCCAATGACTATTTTGACACTTTTTCACTAAAATCCGAATTAAAAAAATGCCCGCAATACTCTTAGTTGAAAGTCATATAAAAATTTTTTACACCTTTTTCAAAAATATCATCCTTTTCCTGACAAAAAAAATACGTCCGGTCACGTGCCCGAAATCCCTAAACCAGAAGTAGCAAAACCGGACAACAGAAATTTTCGACCTTTTTTATTGTTCTCGACGTATGAAAAAAAAAATCCAATGATATGGAACTTTACTTTGAATTTCCTGGGTCACATGACTTCTCCTACGCCCCGATATAGTACAGTTTGTACATCCTCCTATCCTACCCTGCACCCAACTACTAAGAATTTTTCAAGTTGTTCCTACTATTATCTCAGTGAAGGGAGGTTTAATCACCAACATTGGTAAACATGCTATACACCTTACCATAAATGTTGCCGAAACCTTTGATCGAGTTGACCCAGAAAGTTTCTATGTTTTGCAAATAACTATGAATGCTTTGTGATTAGGAATACAGGTTTGGTCAGAATATTTAATTGTAATTTTTTTTTCTCCTGGGCTCGTCTGACTATGTCTCCGAATAACACTGAAGCCTATTGGCTTATTGTGTTTTACCCCATGTTAGTTCATAGCACCCACTTTGTCACCTTTGTACCTTGTACAAGTTTGTACAGATCCTTGGCTGAGTGAGTTTTATACGTTATTGGATCAACCTGGGGTTGTCCAAAAAGTGCCTGTCTTTTGCGATCTAGAACTTCGCATTCGCACAGTATGTGTTTGGCCGTTTCTGGTTTCTTGTGACATAGTCGGCACATGAGTTCTCCATTGTACATGCCAATTTTGTTTAAGTGTCCCTTTACGGGGGCGTGCCCAGTCATGAACCCTGTTATCACTTTCAACTGGTTCCTATTCATAAAGAGTAGTTCTCCAGTTCTTTTGGGACATGGTCTGTCTATGAAGGCTTTTCCATGTGCCTGTTTTGGGGTGCTTCCCCAATAGTTAATATGTTGTTCCCGAATCCAGTCATTTATGAAACCCCGGACTGTACTTTTTGGTATTCCTGGGATTGTGTCTGGTTTCGGTGTTTCTTCTGACCCTCTTGTCGTCAGCCTTTTCGTTGCCTTCGATCCCTTGGTTACCTGGCACCCAAAATAGTTTTACTCTATTTCGGTCTGCCAGTGTTCTTAGTTCTTCGATGCATTCCCATACCAGCCTCGACGTAACTTTCTGACTCGATATATATCAAGTGCCCTAAACAAATTTCTAAAAAAAAGGTGTATATCGTCCTTCCTCTTAGTGACTCTAAAAAAAAACAGGCCTCGAGCCAGGTCCCTCCCCATTGTTCGCGGAGCCCCCACAAAAAATCAAAATCATATCCTCCTTCCTCTTGGCGACTTCTAAAAAAGGTCCTTCGAGCAAAAGTCCTTCCTCTTAGTGACTGAAAAAAAAAAGTTCCTCCAATCAAAATCATATCCTGCTTCCTCTTACTGACTTCTAACTAAACAAAAAACAGGTCCTCAAGCCAACGATAGTACTGCTTTTTTATTAAGACTATTATTTTCTTCGAGGAGCCCCCTTTAGGCTTTGCGGAGCCCTGGGGCTCCGCGGACCACACTTTGAGTAACGCTGGCCTATACGAACTTATTCTTATTTTTTATTATTCGCTTTTTCTTCGCTCTTTTAAAGTATTGCTGTAATCACATCATTCCACGGCTTTCTAGGTCTTCCTCTTGCTCTTTTCCCCTGTGTGCTTACTTCCCACATACGTTTGATCTGCCGCCTTCTTCCATTCTATTAATATGCCCAAACTATTTTAGTTGCTGGTTTTCTATTATTCGTAATATCGATTTTACCCCTAGTTTATTCCTCACTATCTCATTTCTAATTATATCCCTTCTGACTGTCGTTTGCTGCAAATTTTGAGCGGGGTTAAATGTTACGTGTCCCCTTTCTACGTACGGTAAAGACACCGGCTTCAGTATCCAGTGGCGGCTGGTACTTTTATGCTGTAGAGAGAAAAAAAAATGCAAGTAACTCATCTACATTTTACAGAAATTATTTTAGACATTCTAAAATATACGTAAAATAGATTTTATGGATATTCCCATTTATTTTAATTTAATTTTAATTATTATTAAATAGTAAATAGTGTGTGTGCACTGCACCGCTTGGGCCGTCCGCGCTCATCGTCTACTTTAGTTGTTCTAGCAGTCTTGATAGGCATATGCCTGTCAAAATGAATAACAGTGTTTTGATCAAGAATTAAAAAAGGTGGCATTGAAAATTTTTAAAGTAGAATTAACTAAAATAATTTCTGTGAAATATAGACGAGATATTTGCATTTTTTTTTGAAGTTCTGCAGCTCTACAACCTTTATGCACCAGTAAGTATTCCCATTATCTTCTGTTCTGCACCGAGCTGTAAACCAGACGAGCCTTTTAAAATTGAGAGAATCTCGGTTTTTTATCTAAACTTTCCTATTTGGAATAACTACTATAGTTGGTCATACTGATGACAGTTTACTATTTGGCGATAATTAAAAAAAAACCATTATATATACCTTTTTGTGAACGCCACTGTCACAGCAATGTAGATCGACTTTAAATAATTATAGGACAAGTCAAATATTATTTTTTACCGGTCATAAATTAGTTATGATTTATTACTTTAGTTTCACTTTCGAAAACTAGCGAAAACGACATCGAAAAATATTCAACATATATTACTTAACATTTCAGTAATGTTAAATATAAATTCGTCCACCTCCAAATTTCGAAAATATGTTTATGTATGTACAGGGTGAGTCATACGTGGTGAAGCATACATTTTTAACGTCCTGTAACTCCGTAATTATTTACTTTAGACCCCAAACGTAATAGTGTTGAGTTGCATGTTATCAAAGGCATTTTGGATTAAAAAAATGTGTTTTTGCTTTACCACTTAGAGGTACGAACCACTCTGTCCATATCAACATATTTTTAAAGTAAGCAGTTTAAGGTTACGTATAACTTTCGTAAAGAACTGTATTATTATTGTCCTTTGAAGTACAGCAGTTTCTTTCAAATTTATGGCAGACCTAAACATTTTTGAAAATAAAAATCTGCTCGAAAATATAAATGGCTTAATATAACTATTATATCTATCTAATTGATTACTAAATATTTTATCTGCACAATATATATTGAAATTTTTAAATACATATAAAATTATGAGAACAAAAATACAGACTATCAAAGCCTATAACACAGAAAGCACAAATGCGTCTTATGTACGTTCTAAAAACTTCCTGCTTGGACATTCAGGACATCCTTACAACATCTATTTCACGGACGTGGACGTCTTATGGACGGCTTTGGAACGTCCATTGTTAATAATCAGGATGTCTTAAGAACGTCCATTTAAGAACATTCCATGGACATTTTCAACAGCTCAAATGGGAAATAACAGGATGTTTAACGAAATTAGTGAAAATATTGAATAATTTCAAAAAAATTTACTCGGAAGCAAATAACCTATGAATAATAAAATTATTAAAACTTTTTCGACAAATTCATCCTATGCCGTCTCTCCTCTACTTTGCCCTTTTCAATCATGCCTGGATTGACAGCAGTTCAGTTTTTTTTTTCTTGATTTGGCCATATTTGCCTTCTCAGTTGAACCTGAAAATAATTTAATCGCTTATTCAAAATGAAAGGCAGATCAATATGAAAATCCAATCTGTTTGTTTAAGTTTGCCCTGCTAGACATTATGAATTCAATAACCTTTTGGTTTTTTAGTATTCATTGGAAAACTTCCACTTTTCTCACAGATAAAAATAGTACAAACTGCAAAAAATTAATAATTATCAACCACAAACTCACAGAGTCGAATCACAGTCAAATAGCGGAATAATGGAATTTCTACTCGTATAATATGTACAGGGTGATTCTTTTATCATGGGAAATGAGTTTTTCTCGTAAACGGCTGCAGCAAATTGAGTTCTGTAAAAAGTATTTTATTTACGCCGATTGATGCTTGAAACTAAGATGGATATGGAAGTTATAATTAAGCGACGCTTCACAATTTTTTTTTGTCAGAAGCATACCATTTTTATTTCAGAAATTGAAATACAATATATTATCTCATTTTATATGTTGTTTATACAATATAACCAAATAATAATACAATGCGAATGTGAATTCATGGAAATATAATAAAGCACGTAGAATTGACTTTCTACGGATATCTATTTCTTGACGTCCCGAGGATTTACTAAACTGGACATACTTAAAACGTCCAAAATTGGTCCTGGACGTACAGACGATAAATGGACATGTAATGGACGTCCTTAAGACGCCCTGTGCTATCTGGAAACTAACTCTCAGTAGCCCAATGTGTCGAGTGGCCGATTCATTTACTTTTAAAAGGGTGAATTTATAGATAATTATTATTATATTAACTAGAATGTTGTTGGGTTTAAATCGACATCAGGCGAGATATTCTTTTTTAAATTAATAAGTATCTCTCTTAGCTAATACATTATTTATATTTTTTGTTTCAGACGGAATCGACAAGTCCGAATAATGAAGAAGCAACTAGTCAAGACTTAAGCGGCGGCGAGGCTTCGAATAACGTATCAGATTATAGCGGGCATCACAGTGTTTACAACATGGTCTATCCTGGATATTACGTCAATGGTGTATGTCCACATCAAGGTAAATATCAACTAAAAATAATAGTTACTGTAATCCATAATTACATTGACTTTCAAAATAAATCTATTTCACTTTTGTTGCTCTCGAACAATTATACATTGTCGAATGAGGTTAAAAGTGTAGAAATATATAGGAAGAAGTAGCAACTGCAGTACAAGTATTGTACTACAATGGTCTATCGAAACTGAAATTCCTTACATTTTGAGAAGAAAAACAAGAACAGACAAATAGTTGCACAGGAGATCTAAGTCCTAATTTATTGAGTCTACTAGAAATGTCCAAACACAGACACACCACTGTGTATCCACTAAAATCATCCTGTAACAGATCCTGAACTCTGGAGTTGTTTATTACTTTTCATCGAATAACTAGGTATTTCTAAATAGTAGGGAAGACCGGGGTTGGAAGTCACATTTTTTTTCTTTTGTGTTTTTTGCCCCTAATTTCTTAGTTTAGCAGTAGCGTTTATATATCAGTAGATAGTGCATTCGTTCTAGTTTCGAAAGACATCAAGGCTTTTTGTCTAGCCTTACCCACTGAGGAAATATTACAATTTTTATGAAAAAGAAAAAGTGTGACTTGTAACCTAGTTGGAAATAAACACATTTATTCAAATCGAACGAATTTTTATTGAATAAATGTAGTTGTAGGTACTTAATTACCTATTGTGTCCAAGAAAATAACGAAAAATATTTTATTCATATTAAAAAATTAAACAAACTTCTATCAAAAAAATAGGTTAACAAAAATAAAAAATTTACTCATAACAAAATAACTAATAACAAAAACAAAATAAGCTTAGGTACTCTATCAAGCAAACTAGAAACCTAAGAATACGTAACCAAAATAAAAAATACACCTAGTCAGTATAAAGAATCAGTCTGAATACTCTGAATCACAGTTCTGGCAAATGTAATAAGGTGTGCAAGCTTCGTGAGCCCATAACTTGCATTCTTGGCACTGAATCCAGAATATGCAGATACGCATACCAGGCAAAACACTTCATCCTCTTCCTCGTCTTCATCGTAAACTGATTTCTTTTTCATTCTTTTTCCTTCCTTTTCTTTAGAATTCTTTCTATCAGCGTTTTTCTCTTCCTTATTCTCACTCAAAACACGTTTCGTTACTTTCTTCTTTCTTGCTTCTTGTTCCAGTTTTTTCTATTCTAAATAGATCTTCTCCGGTGTGTCTGTTAGAATTGCTGATTTACATTTTCTTCTATCAGCTCTCTGCGATTCGCGCAGATGAGCTTTTGGTAGGGGTTTCAAAGCTAGTGGCGATATTATCAGAGAAGTCCCTGCACTACTTGGACCAGGACTAGTGATCATGGTAGGTTTCTTGGTAGCTTGATGCTGCAGCGATTGCTCTGACGTTGAGCAGCCAGGCAAACTTCGTGCTGTCATAGAATGAGCATTAAGGCCAGGTCTCTCATTTTCAGTCGATATAGTATCTTCAAGGCCAGGTGTCTCACATGGAATTGTTGCAGGTTCATTAGTAACAGTGTTACGTGCGAGATCAGTGCTATCGTTTTGATTATGTGTGCTATTGTGTACGATTTCGCCATCAGGATTCGTAATTAGGGGTCTATCTGTGACAGACGACGGCAAGAAGTCGTGCTCTTGAAATATGTATCGATTAAATGGGGAGATCCCACAGGTTTTAAAACCTGCAAGAATATTGGATGGAGTAACTGCCAATGGAAAAGCCTGTACAATTATTCCTGGTATTTCATATATCCTCATTTGTTGACCTGGATGATTTACCATCCATTGATCCATTGCGTTGTTAATGTATTTTTTCAAAGGTCAATACACCGATCTATCCAAAGGTTGGAGACGGTGAGTGCAGTGTGGCGGGAACGATAGCATTATTATGCCATTATCTTTTGCAAAATTTAGTCCTTCAATGGACAGAAGGGAGCTGTGATTATCCAACAGCAAGAGACATGATTTTCCTTTGTTGACTGCACATGGTTATGGAAATGTTTCAGGAAAGCAACAAATAACTCTTCTGACATCCAGTTCGACGGGTTACTTCCTCCTTTGCAGCCAATTGGCCCATCTCTGATGAAATGGTCTTTGAAATGCACCCTCGGAAAAACGAAGAATGCTGGAACTGAATTGCCACCTCCTGAAACAGCAATAGCTAGAGTACCTAACTAGTGTCTCTCAGCCGAGGTAATAGCACCACTTGCTTAAATCCTTTTTGAGCAACAACTTTCTTTGGTTTTTGCACCGTAGTCACCCCAGTTTCGTCCATGTTCCATATGTTGTGTGGTTGAAAATTAATTATGGATTCAAGGTAATCAAAAAAACTTCCGATATTTTGTGGGTTAAAACTGGTGGCTCGAGCCAGACTGGTAGCCTCAGGTGTTCTAATGGACAAAAGAGGGGTGTCTCTGCAAAAATAACGCAAACCAGTCGGAGCCAGCTAGCTTGTTCGATTCCCAAGACTTTGGAACTTTGATGTTATTGGAAACAGCAAGCTCGAAAGCCATTTTCCGAATCTCCTTAAAAGACAACCCAAAGTAAATGCTTGAAGCCAGAAGTAAATATGTTTCCAATTCTTTTTCCTGTTCATCGTTAAAGATCTGTCGATTCCTTTGGTAGCCCACTTTTGTAGATGGTGTTGATGTGGCTATAAATACATTTTTTACCTCGTTAAGGTTCGATGGTCCATAATCCCTCGCGACAGACCTTATGGATTTGTTATGATTTTTCACTTCTCTGGCAGCACGCAGCATCAGTGCTGGTGGAACAAGGCCTCTGTCAGATTTTCTTTTATGCTGCCGTGGCATTGTTATGGCTAGCCCTGGAACAAACGAACGTTAACGTAGCTAAAACTCGAAAAACCCGCAACAAGAAGCCTCATACATATACATGCATGGGGTTGGTTGACACACGTGACAACCGGCCCCCGGCCACGTGAGACAACCGGTCCCAAACTACGTTTCACAAAATATCCTCCCTAAATAAGTTCAAATCAATATTTATATAAAAAATTATATAATCGTATTATAAAGCACACATTGAACATCAAGCATCAAGCATACACAAAAAATTATATTAATATCCAAAATTTAGGTATACTTACGGTATTCAGTACACAAAAAATTACTTCCACTATGCAAAAAAAAACAAACGCACGTGTCTCCTTCAAGACAGTTCAGAGCGGACTGAAGTGAAGTTCCAAATTCCAAGAAAGGTATTGATATCGCGAGTCTTCGGCGCCTCTCAACGAACTTACTCGTTCACTCAGTTTTTTGTTATGGCCGCTGTGACAACCAACCCGTGAGACAACCAAACCCGGTCTCCCCTACTAATATTCATCGATGCCATCCAATATTGATCAAAACCATTATTTAATCCATTAAAACCGTGGAACGCTAAGCATATTTCAGTGTGCAAATCAATTTAAAATGAATTTAATACCGATATGTAATCCTAAATATTTCTTGGGCATGGAAGAATATGAATTACGTTTCGTTTAGGAGTACTTGTTATCCGTTTTGCCACAACTGACCAGTATCCATTTTTTTCCTCAAGCGAACTTGTAATGTGTCTATCTTTGGCACTTTCTTTCAGTTGTTCATCATCACTAGACTTTTCATCTGTACTGTCGGCTGGTTCAATATGAATATTTACAGTTTTTTGTTGTGTAAAAAAGCTTTTACATTTTTTAGGAGGGTATTGGTACACACTGGGTAATGGGAGAAAATGAAAGATTCTTGTATTTCAATTTTGCAGAGGAGAAATTTTATTAATTATTAAAAATTATTATTAAAAAATAAGTCAAGTGCTTTCGGAAGTAAAGCCATCTTAAGGAATCTAAAAAAAAGATTGGCCAATAAGTACAAAAGGATTATAGTACTTGAATAACAGTTACTCGTTCAAAAATAGTAAAAAAATTTGACAAAAAATATCAGAAATCATCAAGTGTTCACTCTAATCAACAGGTGTGTTGATCCACAACATCAAACCCGAGAATAACGATCAAGGAGAAGCGACAGTAGCTGTCGGTGCCTTTGATATCGGATGTACCTTTTTCACAGCATGACTTTGATTGATACACAACTTAGCACGCTTAGAAAACATGCTTATTTTCTACACTGAGCGAAATTGTTTGGCAAATTATCTGAAATCTTGTTATAGTCCATGCGCAAATGTTGTAATGTGATTTAATTACATTGAAGTAGTTAGGGTTAATAGCAATGGTGAAATTTCGGCACCAAAATATAATTCATTATGTAATAATTAATTATTTATTATAAAAGTAAATTTTTATAATTTATCTATAAAATTTGTTCAATATTTGGTTTATTTATTGTTAAAAATGTAATAAAAGCCCCATATTTAAATTAAATTACCTTTTCCTTAAGTAAAAATAAGGTAAATAAAATTAAGGGTGCCAAAAAAAATTTAGGTAACAATTAAAAAGACATTAAGTTTTGAGATATTTAACTAAATATTTGCAATGTGCTTATATTTTCAAAAACTTTTAGGTTTAAAAAGTACTTACATATTTTTAGAATTTCTGGATTTATATTATATTAAAAGGACTTTCAAGTTTATTACTCATTTCTGTATAAACAAGTGTTTTCTCGCCAAGTTAAGCCAGATATCATTTAAGGTTTATGTATTTAGAGTTAAATACCTGGCCTGGCTATCACCCAGACAATACAAATATGTCCATTGGACGTCCATTTAATATACAATTTTGGATGTCTAGACGTCCAAGAATGAGTTTTTTCTGGACTTCCGACATCCAATAGACGTCCAGTGAAGTATACAAATGGCACACTTTTGACCATTCAGAGGACGTTCTATTCTGGAATATATTTGGACGTCGAATACTGAACATTCAAAAAATGTCCAGGATTATATTTCCATTGAGACCACATCCCCACTTTTTTTACAGAACCGCAACTTATCACACACTATTTTATATTATTAATAATTTGTTTATTATTTTCTCAAACCGCTATACACCATTTTTTTTTT